AAGAAATAGAAGAAGAAGGAGAAGAAGAAGAAGAAGAAGAAAAGAAGAAGAAGAAGAAGAAGAGGAAGAAGAAGAAGAAGAAGAAGAAGGAGAACTTTAAAAAATACATTCTAAAACTACTCAATCTTTTTGGTCATTCGCGTAAAATCAGGAGCAGATTTATCCAAATTATAAAGGACAACATATCTGTTTAAAACAATGATTGATCGAACAGTAATGTTAAATCCTTAGGATTTATGTTGTTTTTTATTTTAATAATGTGCCAGCAAAATGTATGACTGAAGGGCTTGCCAAGCCAAGACAATGAACGGAAATATTTCACATCCGGAACTCCCCACAGAGCGCACGTGAAAAGTACTCAGTCAGCTAAAAAAAAAAACAACAACCAAAAAACATCCGGTCCAGGGGGACTTCCCGAGAGTTGAGCACGTGCTGTTGGCTGGCCAATCAGCGTGTCTGACATTTGCACTCAGTCCCCAGTCGAAGGCCAATGACATTTGACAAGGTCCACTCTGAAAGTTACGTCGTTACTGACCGTAATGTCCTTGATGTTTTTGTTGATGGGCGCAAGATGTCTCTTACCCGTTTCGTAAGAAATCAAATAAAGAAGAAATAGCGTTTTTATTCCGTTCACGGACTAGGTGTAGGGGATACAAATAATTTTTTGACCATACTTAACGAAATCTTAAAGAAAAGACGGCAAATACCAAAACTAATGTGAGAAAATCTAAAAACTACCAGCCAACCAACCAACCAACAAAACTAACCAAGCAACCAAGAAACCAACCAGTCAACCAACCAGCTAATCAACTAACCAATCAATCAAAAACAGACAAATAAACAAACAAACATAAACAAACAACTCACAAATCAATTTTTAAAAAACGGTCACCTTTTTTCATTCCCTGAAAAAGTAATCACCAAAAAGTATTCTCCGTCTTGATCAAAGTTAGTTTCAAAGACGATTTGTTACATAATAAATACGACGCACATACGTGAAAAATCGAACGGACGGTTATGGTTATAATGATCAAAGTCACGAGTACGTGGAAACCAGTTCTCCGCTTGGTAGAACGATTTATATGAAAGGGAAAACGGTGTGAAGTTCTATGACATATTTAAATAGAATGACAGGTTTGTTAAGGTTCAGAATGTTAGGAACATTAATCATTCACGACATATTATATCAAATGACTCTCTCTCTCTCTCTCTCTCTCTCTCTCTCTCTCTCTCTCTCTCTCTCTCTC